CGACTAAGGAAAGACAAAACGTCTTGGAGCTTTGAAAACAACAAAACCCACCGTCGCGTTTAAATCTGCAACAAGTAAGTATGATGAAGAGACCTGCCCAAGGCCTCGGCGTGCGCGTGCACTGTACGAAACACGGGAGATGCGACAACGCCCTCAGCGTCGCGCCGTGGATCTGGGTGAGCCTAGCGCCGTGGATCTGGGTGAGGGCACACTGACGCGCTTTCCTCCACGCCCACACTAAGCCAGTTCAGTTGTTTTTATTCGGCTTTAGATACCTTCCTCTCTTTCGTTACATTCTTGCGCCGAGCTGGAATAATGCTGGACTCACTAACTGCTGTGCTGTGAGCCTCCCACGGAACCTTGGGTGTACCAGCTCGCTGCGGCCGTGCCTTCGTCGACCCCGCCTAATCGATGTTATAGAGTACGCTTAATCTTGGTATCCGTTGTGATCCCCGTGGTGGTGAAAGCCATAATGGCCCCCCGTGGACCGTGCGGGGCCGTGGGTACCCATGGGGTGTGGGTACCCATGGGCATGCCCATGGGTACCCATGGGTACCCATGGACACGAATAACGATAGGGTATATGACTGACGTGAACCAAGGTGCGACAAAAAGCAAATTCGGACACCTAACCCCACACATTTGTTTTGGACCTCTTCTGGGGGGGGGGCGTTGCTTGCGCCAACGGTTTAAGGAGTACCTACTGTACATCATGGACAAATGGATGCAGGGACAAAGCTTTAGTTCAAATTCAGAACCGGGGACATTTGGCCTTCGAGAACTTATACGAAGATCTAGGAAGGAGACGATGAAGACGAAAAGTTCAAATGTGATTGCGGCTCGGAGTGCGAAGACCTTGTTCATGTAATGGCGGAATGCTCGTCGTAAAACAAGGGGAGAGAAGTGAAAATGACTGAGCTCGGAAAAGTAGGGGGAAGATGCAGGGAGATGTTTGTGGCATGGAATAGGCAGGAGAAGACGGTAGCTGTGCTAGGGCATAGGAAGTGGGCTGAAAAGGCGGGAAGTGACATCGATATGATAGATAGATTACATAGGGAAGATATTTTTGAGCCACCTTTGGCAAATAGGAAGAAACGATTGGCCATCGGTGATCGGTCCTGTGGGAACAGTGCTCAGTCCTCTCGAGGACGCGTGGCAAATGGTTTAACCACTAAGGCATGCAAAATATAAGAGTACTCCCCCGTCCCCCAACGCCGTACAATTTCCTAAATAAATCGAGCCCATACAGATAAATCCTATTTAAAGGGAGCACATTTCACGCTCGGGGGTAGTACAATCCACGTAGCCCCTGGGTGAGCTTGCCTGTACCGCAACCGACGTCATCGTAGCAGAGGTTGGAGGAGGGTTAGGGTTAGGATACGAAGGAGGAGGAGGAGGAGGGGGAGGTGGGGAGGAGGGGGAGAGGGGGAGGGAGGGAGGGTGAAGGTGCTCAAGGCGAAAGCGCTCGAAGAAGCGGCTGTTTAGTCTTGTTGAGGGAGGTGGACGGGCTTGGGGGAAAAAACGTACTACGCATGGCAAACTGCAATTGTGCACGGGTGTTGCACGTGGCGAAGGTGATGCCACCACCATAGGCCCATCGCCAGCCCGTCTCCGGTATTTTCCCGGCTTGAGTAAGCTTGGAATGATGATGTGATATTTGGTTCTGATTTGTGATTTGTTGGTATTATTTCGCAATATTCGCCCAAGGTCAAAAATCGTGGTGGACTTGTCGCAGCAACTTTGAGAAGTTCTAAGCTCTGCGGCTTGGGGAGGTGTCCCAAGCACTATACTTCAAAATCCAAAACCAACTACAAGAGTCCCCAGCCCACCACAGCTATTACACGAAGTAGCAATCTACTCTTCCGGTGCCGGACGTGCAAAATATGTTGTCAAACATATCAAACTACTCTTCTATCAAGGTCCTACGTGCACGTTCGGCAAACACGAGCACATGTAAACACACGCAATTGACGTGGAGGAAAGCAAGAATGCCCGCACAAAATTGTACCGCGTACCGCGAAAAAACAAAATGGCGGCGGGGGGGGGGTGTACTCATAGTCGTGCATGCCGTACTCGTTAGACCATTGACCTCGCACCCCTACAAAGCCGGGACGGAGCACGCCGGGTTCTCACCGGACCAGGCTCTCACGTCACCAAGCGCGAAGCACCGTGAGGTATTCGGCGAGTAACATGGAGGGTGCGCTGCATCCTGCTAAGGGTGTTCGGCATCTTGTGCTTACTTCCTTGCGTACGGATGACAGTTGCGTATGACTTATTTTATTTTCTGGTGCTTCCACTTCCAGAGACAGTTATAAGCATTGTGTAGCTGCCTCGAGGGTGATTGACCATTTTAATTTTTAACACAACGTGGTGCGATCATCCCCCTTGCGCGGAGTGAGGGTTCTCGACCCCGCACAAAATGATCTACTCGACCACCATTATGTTGTTGTTGTTGTTGTTGTTGTTGTCTTCACATCAAAAACCGTTCCGTTCTCTCTGCCCAGTAGCTTCTTCAGTCCGTACTATTAGTCTAACACTTGACGGGGTCGATTCCCTTCGTCATAAGCTAACTTACCCAAACAAAAGGTATACGAAAATGAAGTGGACCCGAAGGGTCCGCAAGCCAATAGGAGTCAACGACAGATAGTCTAGGCCACTCCGCTCGCCTCTACACTCTATGTGAGGTAACCCTAGATTAGAAAGAAAAAGAAAAAGAAAAAGAAGAGAGCAGATGGAGAGAAGGGAGAGAGAAGGAGAAAGACACAGACAGAGAAAGACACACGCCGTAGCGACAAACAACAATCAAACAAATAGAGCAACACAACACAAACACAAAACAAGCCAATTCACTTCGTGAACTCGGCAACCAGGTTACCGGGGGGGTTTTATCGCTGTTTTTTTTTTTGCGGTACCCATAATGGTGGTCGAGTAGATCATGCTGTGCGGGGCCGAGAAGCCTCACTCCGCTCAAGGGGGATGATCGCACCACGTTGTGTTAAATTGGTCAAGCATCCTCGACGCAGTTACACAGTGCTTATAACTGTCTCTGGAAATGAAAGCACCAGAAAATAAAATAAGCCACACGCAGCTGTCATCCGTACGCAAGGAAGTAAGCACAAGATGCCGAACACCCTTAGCAGGATGCAGCTCACCCTTCATGCGATTCGCCAAATACCTCACGGCGCTTCGCGCTTGGTGATGTGAGAGCCAGGTCCGGTGAGAACCCGGCGTGCTCCGTCCCGGCTTTGTAGGGATGTGAGGTCAATGGTCTAACGAGTACGGCATGCACGACTATGAGTACACCCCCCCCCCAATGGGTACGCTCAAAACAAGAATCCAGCATATTGTTACAGCTAACTCTATAGCACCAAGAACAGACAATGCATTTCATCAGATGGTTGGCCGTGGTCGAACAGCTGATCGAAAAAAACTCTTGTTTCCAGTATTCGGTTCTGTAGAAACGCGTCCTCCAAAATCCTACACCATCACCACAATATTTCCAGCTTCCGTGTACAGCGAACAACAGTGTTTGGACAACAAAGGTTTGCAATGTCTCTGTGTACCATCACGACCGCGCGCTTATCTGCAACCAACAATGATCAGTCCTTTGCAACCAAACACACTGAAAACGAGAAACTCAACAGCAAAATAAGAACTACTAAGTACTATTCTAGCAGACCGGAAGATGTGCAACGCGTTCGTACAGAATGTCAACAAACAAGAGAAATTGCATACAGAGACCGCAAAAAAATCGCGACCAAACCTGAAAATAACCCGCTCAAGCAAGCCCATCAAACTTCTTGCTGTTCGCCTGGGGAAAGATCTCCAAACTGCCGCCAACACGTCTCGGCGCCCCGCTCTCGTCACCACCATTCCCTCCGTCTGTTGATCTGGCCGCAAACACATGCGCCCCGGCCGTCGCCACCCCAACGTCTTGCCACGGTCGCAAGGAATATGGACCCCCAGCACGGGCCTCCCTCTGCTCGACCTCAGCAGCCGCCGTTTGCCCGGGTCGAATGGGCGTAGCAGTGCCCCAAACCAGGCCACATCCAGCCCTTCGTCACTGCTGCTGCTCCTGCTGACGCGTCGTTTCCGGCGTCGGTTGATGTTGGTCCACATCAGCCTTTGACGACAAGCCGCGACAACAAGCTGCGTACGACCCAGAGCGAAAGCAGACATTTTCATGCTTGCTTCTGTCGCACCCAGCACCAGTTTGTAGTTGGGCCAGGCGTTGTACACTCTTATGGCATCTATGCGTGTACCAACAAAGTTGGGCAGGGGGAAGAAGTCAAACAACATTGTTGTCATTGACCATGAGCAGCTCGCCAGAACCCTGAGACAACAACCAACAATGTTAGGGACGGACGCAGATAGCCCTCCGAGAAGGAGAATATGACGCCGACGTCAAATAGACGTCAATGTCACGGACTGCTCCCGCGCGTTTCATAGATAGATGCCCATCCACAACGAAAAGCTCCCTGTGAGGTCGGCCATCATTGGTCAGCATGCGACCAACGCCCAGTACCGGCGTTAATTCCAATCGTCTATGTACAGCACTGTCCGTAGAAAAAAAAATTCTCTTCACAACCAACTCCTTGTAGAAAGTAACACTAACAACTATTCTAGTTTCCACGCCTTCAGGCCCATCGCTATCTATCATCGCCCTCACTTTTCAGACTTCGAAGTACCTCGATGGCGGTGTTGGGCGAAGCAATCGGCCTGTAAAATAGCCTACAACGAAAGTATGAGGACATCCATTGATCGGATCCCGATGATGCCACGGAACCTAAGCACCTTGTCTTGGTTGATTCTCCGGCATTAGTTGCCACTCCGCTCGCTCTATCTACCGCCATGATGTTGCCGCACTCACGGCGCACTCTCCGCCCAGTACATCTAAAACGAAATTCACTTTGTTTTTGTCAGCCTGTTGTGAATTCTTGTCCATCCACCGGCCGGTCGGTGGCACCCCTCTTCCTCTGAAACGCTCTTCCTTTGAGCTCCTAAGGCAACAACTCTCTCAGGAAGAGTAGCTCTTGTCGAACCGGCTCGGTGTCCTTCCACCAGGGGGCGACGCCCTCGGTATCGTTGTACCACGCGGTCTCCTCCTCGCCGCTAGCGCCACCGCCGCCCCCGGCGCCGTCACCTTCCTCGCCCCCGGTGGAAGAGCTGACACCGCTCCTCCTCTCCTTGCCGTCCAGAATACCCCGGATCCTATCCGAGACTGATGCCGCCAAGCCGCTCATGACGGGTGCCCTTGCCCGCTGCGTCGACCACAGGTCTTGGTCGAGAAGTACTTGGCAGAACCTCGGCAAGGAGAGGCGTTGGCTGGGGTCTTTGTTCAAGGCCGCCTTCAGAACGTCCAACACCTGAGCGGGGGCACGTAGCAGGGGGTGGTGGTTGGGGGGGGGGGGGGCCCCCTTTTATTTTTGCGTGGGGGTGGGAGTCGGGGTCGCCCGAATATTGGCAGACTGGAAGTTGCTTCCATTTCTCGGTCATATCCCAAAATAAAGACTGGAATGGCGGAAGGAGAGGCAAACGATACGAAGTAACAGTTCCAGCACAGCAAGCGTAAGGAAAGCATCATAGGGCGAAGAAGCGTAGGACGGCCCTCCCTTAGACAGAGATATCCAACGGGAGCGAAGTATAATGTTCTTGCTTGACTCTCCGTGCAAGATATCGTACGGAACCCGTGCGCGTCATCTGGATGGAGCTCGATCGATCTGCACAGCGAAAAATCTCCCCCGCAGTCTCTAGAACGCAAACTTGCTTGCCTGGTTCGGGAACTGCATCTCTGTGCGCTGGGGGAGCATCACCGGGGACAACAGGGTCTTCTCTAGGTCCTCCATTCGGCATTCTTGTGCCACGTGCCCACTCTGAGAGGCGCAAACACGTTGAGGGGGGCGGGGATGAGAGATGTTTATGAATCACGCTGCATTTGCTTCATCAGGGAAAATAATTGTCGCCGGAAATATACCCTCCCCGAAATCTACGTAGCTCACAAGGGCAGCTGTCTCGTTTCTGACGGAGAAACGATCGTGAGAGTGCTCCCTGCCAACGCTTCTGCTCATCATGGCGCGGTGTGGAAGCCACGGGATGGAGCTGTCCGACAACTTGATCGAAAGTGCATGCAACATGTTGGGGATCTGTCGAAGTCTTCACAGAGCTACGGTACATAGATATCTTTCAACCCACGCACGCAAATCAGCTCCTTCATAGTCACTCGTGTCGTCAAGGTGGCTTCAGATGTATTTTTGCTCACGTAAATGTCGAACATGATGCGCTGGGCTTCTTGGCGCGTGTCGTCGTTTGCGGCTTGGAGCTTGGCCCTGTTGGTCCGGCGGAAGTCCATTGCCATGGTCTTGGAAGGGCTGTTAGGGATCGAGTCCCTGTGCTTGAAGATGGTCTGACGCGTTACAGCGGGGGGGGAGGGCGTACTCAAAGTTGTTGGGAAAATGAGACGTGTGAGGTGGGCCTGAACAGTGCGCGACGTGCTTCAGCATTTGCCTGCTTTCTCGGCATCTATCCTGCCTTGTGATGGATATTCTTTCAGGCTGTGTGTATTTGATGGGACACAATGTTCATTGGAATCACAGTATTCCGTGAGGTGAATGTAACTTGTTGCTATATGCCGACCCTGCAACCTCACCTATTTTCGGATCTTGAGCAGAACAAAGTGCACGAGGTGCGCCCGCTTTTCCGACCATACTTGGCGAATTACACCAGTACTGTAGCTTTGGTGGACCTGAAGCATGCCCTGCTGCAAATGATGGACTCACTTTCGGTTGACCCAAAGAAAACTTTCATGGTATGGCGTACTCCGCCACGTACAAGGCTTTGTGGCACCCATCAGCTAATAAAACGTCAGTCACAGTTAGCACTCACCGCACCGCTCGTGACCGGAAGAACCGACCCCGTCAGCAGCTGATGGGCAACGATGGCAAGCGAGTACACGTCCGAAGACGGGAGCATCTTCAAGTCGATCGGCGAGGGGCCATTCCCGTGGAAATCTCCAGTAGTCTCTGGGGGCATCCACCACGGCGTCCCGCCGCCAGCCGGAGTCTTCCCAGACTCTGGTTGTTCGAACACATTTTGGGAGAAGAACGGTGTTGTCTTGCCTCTGGCCTGTACAGTAGTCTACCGTGCTTCTTCTCAGGATGCTGCACAAGCCATCTTTTTCGGAGAGGAAACACGCTCATGACAAGGTGCACCTATCTATGCAGTCTATCTAATATGGCACGTAGGCACTTCACGGGAAAATAGTTTCCTCCGGCACCCTGCGTTGCCCTTGGGCGTCTTAAAGCCCTCAAGAAACAAGTTTTCCGCCGAACGAAAGAAACACACGTGCTTTGACTTCGGAGGCATCAGTGACAGTGGCTGTCTGATGGATCTCCCAATACTTTGCCCCTCTTCGTATCTATTTTCACATATTCTGAGATCGTCCAAAACTCGCACTCGCACTTGCTCCATGCGAACCATCCTAACCACCACCATCCCGTGAAAAACACGTGTCCACCACATGGTAGGACTCACCGCCGGCCACGCCCAGGTCGGTCAGTACGAAGCGGCTGAAATCCTTGTCTCGAAGGATGTTTGCCGGTTTTACATCGGCGTGGATGATGTCGTTGTCATGGAGGAACTCCAGCGCGCCTCCAACTCCTGCCAGATTCCTGAGCGAGGATTGATTGCAGTGATAGTCCAAATGAGGTGAGCTTTCGTCGGGGGAACGGGGAAGGGGGCCTGCCGCTTGGCGTAGATGCCACAAACACAGCAGTGCTGAGGAAAGGGTGGCGAAAAGTGCAAAGCACACATCGTGGATTTTTTTTCTCAATGAAACAAGGAACTGAATGTTTTCGGTGAGAGGGTCGTAAACACGGCCTACGGTAGAATAGAAAATAGGCATTTTCATGTTCGCCCGCCTACCTCATTAGCCTAGCCTTGGGCATCCTTCGCATCAGCTTCGGGTTACCAAGCAATTCATTGAGGTCGCCGGCCATCCTCACCATCACGATGTGACGGTTTCTCTCGCTCACTGAAACGGCGCTCAAGAGGTTGGGGTGCGCCTTGACGCTGAACCTAAGGAAGAGCCGATACGGCCGGGCGTTTGAGAGGACGGCAGGGGCAAGATAAGTATTAACTTCAACTGAATCACCATGTCGAAATGTGACGGCCAGCTGGTAAAGGAAGCACAGGTAAAACCAGATGCCGACAGTGACGAAAGAAGGAAACCGCCGACATTGTATCTGTTGACTATTGGTGCTATGTGCACGGATAGGTAGTGTCTGCTATCTCAATAATCAACACCAGCTGAAGTGTGAAGTGTGACCAGTAGCCTTCAGAGCAAACGTGGTACATACCTCTGCAGAATCCGTATCTCGTTGAGGTAGCTGTCGTCAAAGTCGAGCGCTGATCCCTGTGAATGATGTCGCGCCGCAAACGAACCGAATGATTTACACCTCCCAACAATGGACAAAGCCGAGTGACGCGCATCATGAACGGAACAAACAAGCCGGGAAGCAAGACAACAGGTAGGTGCCGCTTTTGACCCAAACTCCGATGTCGTCGACGCCGAAGAAAGAAGGCGTTGACACACACCTCTCACCCGACCCGAACATCTCAGTAAACTGGTTCGAGTATTCTTCGTCATGAACTGACATTGAACCCCTCTTACCGGCTAGTTGGCTTCGGAATTGATGGTTTAATTATTTATTGTATTCCCGTCTATTGCGCCCGCGCGAAGAACGATAGAAGTCTTTGGGCATCCCTGCGAGACAGAGCTCTGCTATCAAATATTCGGCGGGGAAAGACAGAAGCTTTGGTTGAGGGAGTGCGGGACACAAGAGAGGGTTAAATTCCACACGCAAACCTGCAGAGGTCCCTTCAGTACGAGCTCCCTTCCCGCAGTGTACCGGAGGGCGGCGGCGCGTTTTCTCCTCTCGACGATCGTCACCTCGCACACCACGCCGTAGCCCCCCCGTCCGACTACCTCGCCCATCTGGATGAGCCCCGCGTCCTCCGCCTCGGTAATGTCCGCCAAGAATGCCACGCCCCCCTGCTGAAGCTCGGCCTCTCGCCGCTGCTTGTACGAGAAATCCCGGTTGAAATCGCCTCCCAGAATGGCCTCAGACAGCATATCGAGGGCGAGGGCGTCTCCGTCGCCCGCCTTAACCTCTTCCGCTGTCTGCCTCCCGGATTGGTCATCGGCCACCGGGGAAAGCGACGCTTGTGCTCTATGCTTGTCTACAACGCTGCCGCCGCTACCGCGGTCATCCTGGCCACCGCGCTCTCCTGCGCAGATGGCGTCCTCGGCTTCCCTGAGGACGAGGGCCAGGGCGTTAAGCTTGCCCACTCGCCGAGCCCGCAAACGGCTCCCATCCTCTGGCTGCCGCTGCTGCTCCGTCCCCTTCTCGCTTTGAAGCTCAGACTTGTCAGAGTTACCTATCGCCAGGGGTCGCGGCGTGTTGGCACCGACACCACTGTCCTCCTGCACAAGATCGCAGCCTTCTCCCGCGATTACCTCTGGCAACGTTGATTGGGTCACATCACCACCGCCACCCTGATCGCTGTCGGTTGTGTCCCGCTCCTCCGTGCGACGAGAAGTATTGGCAAAGCTAGAGGTTGCCTGGTCGGGAGACCCCTGCAGCGCATCGTGTCGGCCGCCGAGCACGCTAACGCTACGCTCGGCGTTGCTCCATGCTAGCAAGGGGTTCCTTGGCCTAACGCTGCACTTGTGTGAGCCACACCCCGCTAGTTCATTCCTCGCCTTCTCAGCTGTGTCTTTCTTCGTCGCCTGTGTTTCGCTGTCGCCGATCTCGCGGTGAATGCTAACGCTACGCTCGGCGTTGCTCCATGCTAGCAAAGGGTTCCTTGGCCTTGCACTGCGCTTGTGTGGGCCACACCCCGCTAGTTCATGTCCCTCCTTCTCAGCTGTGCTTTTCTTCGTCACCTGTTTTTCACCGGCTCCGATCTCGCGGTGGATGCTAACTCTTCGCTCGGCGTTGCTCCAGGCTGCCAAGGGGTTCCTTGACCTTGCACTGCGCTTGTGTGAGCCACACTCCTCTAGATCATATCTCTCCTTCTCAGCTGTGTTCTTCTTCGTAGCCTGTGTTTCGCCGTCGCCGATCTCGCTGTGGATGTTGCCGGACAGAAACGAGACGTCCTGTAGCGGACCACTCCGGTTGCCCAAGACGTCCCCCCTCTCCGTCGCGATGTTCTGCTGTGCCGCACCCTCGACGATTCGCTTTTCGTTCCCGAGGACCTCATGATCGTGCGAGACCGTAGTCGGAGAAGAGTGGAACACTTCAATGCCCTTCCCGCTCAGCCCGGAGGACGCGTCGGTTGATCTCGGTCCGGAATCCTCAGAGATGCCGCCCCCCGACTCGGAAGGCAAGACGCTGTTCGGAACAGCACCTACACCATCACCCGATGCCACCACCTCCTTCTCCTCCTTCTCCTCCTCCTTCTCTTCCCCCTCCTTCTCTTCCTCCTCCTTCTCTTCCTCCGAAACGTTCGTGTGCACCACCCCCGTGTCTTGCTCCTCACCTGCCTTCCCGCGCTCTTCTTCCTCGAAAATCTTCAACGCCGCAATTTCCTCTTGTTCGCCCTCGAAACACACAACGACGGTGCTGGTGCTGGTGCTGCCTTTTCCGGTTTGCACGGGGTGTCCTGGGAGCTCTCCCCCCTCCTCTCTCTCACCCTCTCCACCGCCGCTGGTGGAGGTGGTCGTGGTGACAAAAACAGTCTCGGCACCTGTCGTGTAGTCGTACCCGGACAGCAAGTCCACATCTGCGGAATTTTCCAACCTAAGTTCAAACCACAGCGAGGAACCGAAGACTGGCTTGTTGTTGGTTGTTCCGCGGTAAATCATGAGCCTAGTTTCACATATGTGCACGGTTTTGGTGATACTGGCTCTTGTCATATGTCGGCATGTGTCGGGGTTTGTGCACAATGCGGAACGGTGAACATGCGTATAACCCCCTGTATTATTTTCCAGTCGGTGCAGCGCTGTGAATGCTTGTACGGGTCAACAGAAACAAACCTACTGCTAAACACTCGTCACAAGAAGGCAAGGGGAAAACAATATTTTCTTGTACATGTATCCCTCTGCGAGCACGCAGCGCGACGGATGGTTTGACCCGGGTATAACAGCGGCCTTTGTGCGTTTTATACAATGTACACATGCTATGTATGGCTTGGAGACAATCGTGGTGCTGAAGGGTACGTACCAGCTGGATTCATCTCTGAGCAGCAAAGTCTCCTCCATAGCACCGCCCGGGTGGTTGTCACCGTCTTTAGCTATACGCGGGCATCGCGCCATAAACTAGGGGCCAACGATCGGGGGTAAAGACGAGAAAAAGGTGAGACGGGTGAAGGAATGAAATTACCACACCGGGGCGAATTGAGGAGCAGCATCAGCCGTGTTCTGTGGCGGGCATCGGACCTCGCCCGCTAAGTTGCCGCTTCACCTGCAGAGGTTTCATTAATCCTTGCTACTTACCCTGGTATTTTCGAAGAACGTTGCACACTGTGCCTGGGTGCTATGCGCCCTGTTCTAACCACACGGCATCATCTGCACACAAGAGTGGTGCTTGCGCTCAACGACGCATCTCACGTGGGCTATCTGTGCTTCGTAGAACTCCACGGTTGTCCTCAGAAGGTCTCTCAAACTCAGCGCGGTCTCCTCCGCCTCCAGTCTCTTCGTCGTCTCTTCAAATGCGGTCGCCTGGAGCGCTATCACCCGTCGCCTTAACGCCGCTAACTCCCCCCGTTCGTCGGCTCCCCCCCCCTCGCTCTTTGAGAGAAGCCCCCCCGTTTCCTCGACGCTGTGGAGATCTTCACCTGCTCCCTCTCTCAAGGCCGCAGGGTTTGCAGTCGTTTGTTCAGGCAAGTCGGTATCCGAACATTTCTCCTCGTCTTCGTACAAGTTGCTCCTCTTGCCCCCCTTCTCCCCGAAGCTCCGCACACCGAGTTCCTCCCTCGTATCACGGTTCTCTGCCAAACCTCTGATCCCGCCCAGGCTGACCTCCGCATCCAGAAGGTGTCTATGCGCTGCCTGTTGTTTCCCGGCCGCGGCAGCGCTCCTGTTCTCCTCGGCCCGTTCTGGCCGGACCTTTACCCTCGTCCGATACTCGGTCTTCTGGCGGCTCATTACAGCACCCGTCACCTCCCCAACGGGCAAACCGCTATTCACCCGACCACCGGTTCCCCCCCCCGCACCCTCGGCGTGGAGTCCTCCCGGATTCTCAATGCTGTGAAGATCTTCCCCTTCTCCCTCGTCCGAACGCGCAGGCTTGTCAGTAGCCTGTTCAGGAAAGGCGGCATTCGCACAACTCTTCTCGTCCTCGGACTCCTTGTTTTCCCTCCCTCCCTCCCCCGCCACGCTCGGCATGCCGAGCTCCTCCATGGTATCATGGTTCTCTGCTAAACCGCTAATAGTACCGCTCAGACTAAACTCTGCGCCCAGCTTGTTTCCCGGGGTAGCTGCCGCGGCTGTCGTTGTGACCACCGCTGCTCCAGGCGCCGGTCGTCGCGCCGCCGCCGCCGCCGCCGCCACCGTCCGCTGGACGCCGCGCATGCATCTTGAGGAGCTTGCGGAGGTGCGTCGCGCACGTGGGGAGGTCGCAGCAGTGCTCCTGTTCTCCTTGGCCGGTTCTGGTCTGACCTCTTCCCTCGTCTTATACTCGGTCTTCTAGCGGCTCATCGCGTCACCCGTCACCTCCCCAAAGGCCGAACCGTTCTCTACCCTACCACCGAAGTTTTCGCTCACGCCAATCTTCTGCTGCTGGTTCTGCTCTGGCGTAACCATCGTTACTTTTAGACCTTGCTGTCCTGCCTCCTCCTTCAGATGAATCTCTGTTGTCTCCCTCTGCTCCTCCTTGTCACCGGAGCTGCGTGTGCCAAGGCCAGTGTTGCTCGCCCCGAACGTTCCACGCATTATCGCGTCGCTGTTGGCGCTACCGTCGCTTCCGCCTTGGTCTGCCACTCGCCGCAGACTTGACCCACTACCGCGTGCCTTCGTCCGCCGTGTGGCCTCACCGCAGGAGCTACTGCTGCCACGGATGCGGCCATTCTTCTCCAAGGTTCCTTTAGCTGCCCGGTTGGCCTTGCTACAACCGTCGCTCCCCTCGATCTCGACCTTCTTTTGTCTAGACGAATTCTTACCCGCCGGTTCCTGATTCGCGGTCTTGGCAAGAACACTGCCCATGAGCTGTTTCCCCATCGCATCCCGGCAGTCATTCGTGCTGCTACCGCCACTCTCCAACATGACCTCCCACAACCTTGACACCAGTCGCACCAACGCGCTCTCGCTTCCGATTCTCCGCAAACAGCCTTCGCGGCGGATTACCGCAATTGCGCGCTGGATCGCGAGGCGCCGTGAGGGTGCGAGTGTCTGTGCCACGTGCAGGAGCTGCCCAACCGTACGCTTGGTGTGGATCTGGCGGTTAGACCACCGCTGCACGATTGCCTCTGGCCGCATTGGCGGGTGCATCCTGAGCCGCGGGCCGTTGCTGGTGCCGTCAGACATTGTTAGTCCGCGGAAATCTGACTCTTTGCAGTCGATCAGCACCAGAGGCATCGCAGCTTGCACGAAAAGCTTGCTGGTAAGGCTATGGTTGTTTGGGTTATTACATGTCCGGAACGAGGAAAAACCGGACGAGCACGCAGGGGCGCAACAGGGGGGAACGCTTGAGATATACATGTAGATATGTTTGTATGGAATTCGTTCAAAATCAGCTTGGTTGTTGCTACTACAAAGACACGAATGTCGGCATTGTTCAACTGGGTCGTCAATACTGTCCCGGAAAAACACCTCGATTATGTTCCCCCAAGTGTGCATAGCTGTGTGTCACGCTGGATAATCAACACTGACAACGTACGACCTGCTTCCTGCTTAAGGGTACCCTTTCCGTCCCACGTCAGTCTATCGGGAAGAACCAGACCCTCACCTCTTGATTCCGTCGAGAATAGCTCTGGCCGCTAGTTCTAAGCGGTTGCCCAGGGACGGCATCAGCCCCATTGCCCGGGGTCGTGTCACGGTTGACTGCTTGCATTTGATAGTCGGGTAACGGGGGCAAAATCAATTATGTGCACAGTTACGGGGTTGTTCTCTTCATACTAAAACCTTTTCTGGCCTCGTCGCATACGCCTTCTGCCGTACTTTTCGAGGAACGACTACCTTCGGTGGCCACAGGCTACTTCTTCATACTGTCATGTCCGGTACCTGTACAAGACCAGGACAAGGTCCACCACGAAATAAACGGAAGTCCGTTAATGATAAGTTCAGGCAACTAATGAAGTACAGTAATTTTTTCGGGATTCGTTTGTAGCGACTGTATGGAATATACAAGCTTCTGATGATTGGAAGCTTTTGCTTGAGGTGGTATTGGGTAGAGGTCAGGCCGATGGGAGTTGTCAATGTATCAAGAACAATATTACTTGGAGACATCCCCAAAAAAGGGTCGTCGGAACGTTAGAAACCATCGTCTATACTGTACTCGGGTCCTTAATCCAGCACAGGGGACTCTGCCAGTAGTTACAAGCGCAGTTCATCGATGGCTGGAAAACAAAGAGATCCTTGCGTTGGGCATATGGGCGAGAGACAGCAGCAGCAGTATGCACGTCGAGTGGGGAAGAGGAAAGGTTGTGGACATGCGCAAGATTGGATTTTGACGTGAAGATTGCAACGATCCCACAGCTATTAACCCGAAAAACGACCTTTGGGCCAGACCAGAGACGGTGAGATTGGCCAACGTCCATCCTTTGGTTCATGGATGACAAGGGACATCTTGCAGAGGCTACATACAATTGCTTGCCGAACCGAGCACAGGCCTCACGTGAACGTCGGGTCCGGCACAACGCCTTGCAGCAAAGGTTGCGACACATGTCCTTCCTAATGGCAGCATACGAAAACATGAACAAAACCAAATGAAGTCCCAAATTATGGCAGTGCGGTTCCGTTTGTATCGATTGCTGTACGTGATGATGTTGTACTGACTGACGATGATGATGTGTACTGTAGACTTGCTGATGATGTACACCTTTGCCGCATCTACAAAGCACGGGATTGTAGCGTGCGTGCGTCGCTATGGGGCCACGGTCTACGAAGAAAGTAAGACGTAACCTAACGGCAATGAATCCCAGAGTTCGTTTTTCCGAGAATCGGCAAAAAGGCCCCCAAAAACACACCTACCTCCGTTGGCCCGACCATGCTTCCTCCAGACCCGATCATCTTTTCTCATTTATTCGCCACAGTACGTCTGGACGTTCTCGGCATGGTTATGAGTGTACGCTGTCTGACTTCCCGGTCGTATCAACAACTATGCCGAAATGACGAGAAGCGTTGTGTTCACCTGATGGAAAGAAAACGAAATTGTGTCGGCGGGTTAGCGGTTGGCAGTACTGTCGGGTTTTGGTCAGGATCGTTGACGACGGTTGTAACGGTTTTTCACCGCCTGCCCGCGGGTTTCCACAGAAATCGCATGACCAAAACACTTGTATGCTTCAAATGAATGGATCCATGGATCCCTGTGCCACGTTTGAATGGAGCTCGATCCTACGTGTACCGAGGTGCATATTTCGGGGGCACTTATCCGCTCAATGAGATTCACTGGTCTGTGTTGCGTGGTGTTATTCAAATGGATGCAACTGCAGTGGCTCCGCAAGGTTTGTCACTGCAAAGTTGGTACCCAGCACCGATACCGGCCCCCTTTTTTGGCCACACAACACGCCAACATAGGCTTGCTCCACGCCCAACGCGACTCGTCAGTGCGGTGTCGCCATGCCGATAACATCTGTGAGAGCCAGTAGTGCTGGCGAAGACACTGCTGCTACCTCTGGCGATGGGGCCGCGGCGTACCATTTTCTTCGCACAGGCCCGACGGAGATCATGCGCCCGGCTGCTGCTGCTGCTGCAGGGCAGGTAGACCTATATATTTGAAGTTTTGTTTCGGCCCGACGCAAGGCCACAGCCGACCTTCCTGGTACAGCCCTCGCGTTTGGTTGGGCATCAGGCAACACGATAGCGAGGAATCAAGCCCGTCATATATTGTATCCGGAAGCCGTCTACAATGTAGATTCTCCGCGAAACCTACGGAGAGAACTTGTTGCTGAGGTTATATTTAGTACATGCAGACCGCAGGAGGAACACGCGAATGACGTATCACCCCCGCGCACCTCGTTCAAAATCGTTGTTTCCGCAGGGGAGCGCTGAAGCCACGGTAGTCATCCGTGTCACAGATCTGGTAAGCCGATGGTGTGCGTTTGTGGCCATGCGCCGCTCTTGTTGGCCGGCTCTCTCAGTGCCGGTCAGACGACACGTAACTATTCCTGCGTACCGTATGCATAGGTTGCACGTGCATAGGATATCACACCCCGTGGACCGATTTCCAAAGCCCGATTTCCGATTACTCCACACAGCAGTGGCGGTGCCGAAAATGGCGGCGTTGGAACCGTCTCGTCGAGAGCTTTCGGAAAACGTGTCCTTTGATTTCGACATCCTCTTCGTTGTGGGGTAATCGAGCCTTGAAAATCGATACAGGGGGTGTGGTATCTCACGCAACCTACACGTAGGACCTTTACCTTTACTGAGCTCTGCCATGGTCCAGAGATGTGTTTCCAGTTTCCAGCCCTCCCACCTTAGGGTAGATATACGATACCCACACAACATATCACCCCCTACAGACTACGGAATACGTGGGGCATGCAGTTGTGTTCTGCTAAAATGTGCAAAGTCCTCTTTTTTTTCCGGCACAAAATCGCTGCCTTGGTACATCGTTGACTCTAGACTAGTATGCATATTGTGCTTGAGAGGAATCCGAGCAAGAGGCAAATCTCTTGCCCTTCGTGTGGTACAGCAGTAGACTTTGATATGTCTTTTTGTATTGCGCTCTCCACGGGTCACATAGCCAGAATTTTTTTTTTATGTTCCAAGCACATGGCCGCTCTGTTGTCCACTCCGGCCCTGAGGCGCCAGTCAACAACGACCCCGTTGAAGCAATTCAACCTCGTCCCAAACCAGGGACGCAGAAAAGTGACAACCCAAGTGTAGAAATGTGTCGTCGAGGTGCCCTTTACCCAAGGGTCGTGTCTGCAGGCGGTTAAGCCTGTGTGTAGTCGTCGAGACCTTAGTTAGTATCATTGTTGCCTCAATGGGACTTTCATTATTGCCTGCCGGTGGCACCGGAGCCTAGCTCAGTTGCAGAGGTGAGATGGTGAGGGATAGTTGGGGAGTGAACCCGGTGGGGCTCGCAACACCTCGTGATCTCGCTACAATTACAATCCTCTGCTCAACCATCAATTCATTCGTGAGTTCCTCGCTAGAACTCGTCATACATGTTACGTTTTACCAAACGTCACATATCACACCGCATGTACGTATCATTGCATACAGCAATCATACAGCTGCATCTATTCTACTACACACATCCTACAGCAGTGATGCGCTGTATTTCAACACGCCCCCATGATGGATGCAATGTTACGTGCACTTCAACAACCCCAGTGTTGTTCTAAATCTACTGCATAAATCCTGCAAGTCTTTTACGCACCTACTTCAATTCAGTACTCTTACATTACACACGCCCCCATAATTTGTATAACGGTACGCGCGTTACTCATGCTTCAACAACTGCCTGTTCAGCTGCTATCCTGCTCCAAAAAATAATCGTCCTTATTTTCTTCTCCTTATCTTCTTATTCTCTCCCCGCATTCAGTGAACAAAGATCAGAATTTCGTCCCCAAGTTTGCTCAACTAAAAAACAACTGCGTTTAACTGTTTCTACAATAATAGTGAAATACATTGACTACGGTTGAATGACCATAGTAAACCTTTCATTCGTCGCATACTACTGTACCTCAACGCTCTTAGCACGTACGTAAACACATACCTCTATCACAGCATTTCTCTTTCATCTGGCCAATTATTTTACCTTACCAGAATCACACCTCATACGAAGTATCACATACACCTATTCGTAAAACCGTTCATTCTTCTATGTAGACAGAATGACCGTGAAGCACACATCATGTCTGTGATGTCCATGCCCGGGATTCACTATACTTTCACAAAATTCACTCTTCTCTACGTTACTGATGTTCGGTATAACTATTTCATATGTCATTACTTTCCTTCTCATCCCGTCTCCTTCTCCAGTGTAGCAATTAAGCCGTTGTTGTGTCTCCAGACGTCTTCGATGATGACGCTGTTGTTATTGTTGTTGTTGTTGTCGTCCAGGAAGTACACCTCCTTGGTCTTGTCGGTCTTGTATGTCGTTGTTTTCCAGGTAGTCCTGTCTTGTTTGTGATGTCTTTCCTTGTCGTTGTTGTCCAGGTAGTCCTGTCTTGTTCTTCTTGGTAGTGGTTGGTGTGTAGTCGTCGCACCAGCCTTCCCGTGCTGTCCTTATACATCTGAAACTATCACATTTGCTGCTCCGCCATATGAAATCTCCTATTTCGTAGATCCTCCACGTTCTTGAACCAATGTCCGCAGTTCGACGAATTGGACACGTTCCAGATGCTTGGTCAATATGTCCGCAAGCTGCTCCTCACTCCTCACGAACTTTAGCACAATGTTTCCCTGGTTGACGTTCTGGCGAAGTAGCCAGTATCTCGTGCTGATGAACTTGCTGCGGCCTCGAAACATGGAGTTTCCTGCTGTGCTCAGCGCTCCCGTTGAATCCGAATGAAGCGGGATGTTGCCGCATGGAAATCCAAGTTCCGATAGTACACCTTGCAGATAAATTGCTTCCCTCGCTGCTGTAGCCATCGCAATGATCTCCGCATGTACACTTGATTGTGCTGTTAGCTTCTGCAGAGTTGATGCTGCACTGATGACGCCTCCCGCAAGTATGAAAATATATCCAGTAGAAGAACGCTTCTGAAGTCTCTCGCCCGATCCAGCGAAGTTCGCGTCACAGTAGCACTTCAGGTTCCATTGCCCTCTCCTGAACTTTAGTGGCATATCCGGGAATCCTCGAAGGTATCGCAGCACTCTCTTTGCTCCGACCATATGTTGATTGGTAGGCTTGTTCATCCCTCTGCACAGGATCATGACGGCATATCCAATCTCCCATCTCGTCGTGTTAGTCAAGAAGAGGAGACTTCCGACTATTCCCTGGTAGAGTTTCTTGTCCTCGTCACTTAAATATATAGCATTCTCCGGCTCTTGTTCAATTTCTGGCCCGCATCCTGGAGTCGCCGCTGATTTGCAGTCCTTCATTTGATACTTGTCCAGTATGTTCATCACATATTTGTGTTGGCTCACTGCGATTTCTCCGTCGCTCTGAGAAATCTCCATCCCTAGTAGTAGTTCCGCTGGTCCTCCGTCCGTCATCTTGAATTTGTCCGATAGTTGTTTCTTCAAATCTTGAACCACGCTCGGTGTCTTTCCAGCTAGTGTGCAGTCGTCCACGTACACACATAGTATCGCGTATGTAGGTCCAGCACCGTACACATATACGCACGGGTCGCTCAGTAGAGCAGTAAACCCGATTTCTTTTATTCCTTTGGCAAATGCGTTGCCGAAATTCCGAGGGCTCTGCTTCAATCCGTATAAGCTTTTCTTGAGCTTCATCACCAGTGGTAGTCCCGTCACTTCATCCATTATTTCGTATCCTTTAGCTTGACGAACATACACTTCTTCTTCCACTTTGCTCTGAAGAAATGCAGTCACCACGTCCATCGTTTCCACAACGTATCCTCTTTCCGCTGCAATTGCCATTAAGACCAGCTGTGAGCTAAATCTACTCACAGGTGCGTAGGTTCCTCCACAGTCGATTCCATGCCGTTGTCCCCAGCCTTGGACGATAAGTCTTGCCTTCATAACTCCGGTTGCTTTCATCTTGTATAACCATCTCGATCCAATGGGTTTAGCTCCAGGAGGTAGACTCTGAATTGGAACTAGATCCGCCACATCATGATCTTTCAGGCTCCTCATCTCCTTGTCCATAGCTGCTTTCCATTGATTGGCATCCACAGACCTTATGGCTTCTTGAACTGTAGTGGGTACAGGTATAGATGCTGGCGGCCGGACAGGTTCTCCGGCTGATGGATTCTTGATTCTTATATCTTGGTCTTGGTCTTGGTCTTGGTCGACAAAAGTCGCTAGTTTATTCCATGGCGATAGCCTCCGTAGCTCTGCTTGCTGCCGTTTGTTGTTTGTTGATTGTTGAATATCCGTATTCCTTCCGCTGCTTCGCAAGTGCATGCGGG